AAAAAGTACATTAACATGTGAGATATGACAAATGCATAAATCGATCTACATACTTTTAGTACCACCGTTAATCTGTCTACTGTTGTGGAAGTTGAAAACACTCTGCTGGAGGAGTCTGATGCAATTTTAGTTGTGGTTGGCAAGGATAAATTGATCGCTTTCGTGGGCAAAGCAGAAGATGGCGTTTCACTTCTGTTTGATGTAGCAGTTTTAGTTTCAGTTGTCGTAGATTGCGTTGTGATTGACTGTTGTGACTACATGGTCTTAAACAGGGTATACATCTCACCCGAAATTGTCTTAAACAGGCTATAAAATTTAGATAAAAGACAGATTTAATTTTTTTTTTGTCCTGGACAGGGTAATATTTTCATAAGAAATACCGTAGAAATAGTAGAAATACCGTTTCACTCAGTTTTAAACTTCTTATTGTCTTTGATGAATGTCAGTATAATTGTAGTTTTGCCGGGTTGCAGCGTAGATAGCTATTCCATAATTTTTCCGATTTGTCTTGAACAGGGTATGGATTTTCACTTTCTAGTGTCTTAAACAGGGTCAGGGTTTCAGACCACTGCCGGCACGTAACTATCCGAAACGGGGTCGAAGGAAGGTAGATCATTACTGTAGGATTGATTTGGGCTGAACACCGGATGGACGAAGGCTTTACAGGAAGATAAAGGTTACCTGGAGAGGACGTTAGAGTGCGAAAGAAAACACGCTGGATGATTGAACCAAATCAAACTTGTGGCAAGAAATAGAGAGGGTTGGAGGGTAGAATCGAGATCTTATGTGACTTCTGACACGCACAAAAATAATGATGATGATGACTATACATTTGATATTTTAAATATTAAATTTTAATCTCACTGATATGATTTATATACCTGAATGTTTTCGAACTAGAACATTGTTTTCGCACTTCCATGTACCGTTGAAATATCCAAAAGTGCTCCTCCTTTCTTCACATCGACAAGGACAACCATCAGCATCGGGTACCGCACTGCCACCCATCTCACGACATGTGTAGTTCAAAATACACACAGAAGCCGTCGAGGGGAATTTGAACTGATCTTTGTCTTTGCGTACGATGTTATACTCATCTATGGATAAAACTTTCCATACCAGAGCAAAGCCATATAAAAGGCACAAATACATTGTCAATCTTCTTTTTGCTTTCAGTAGATCAGTTTAGTGTGTTTACAAAATGTTATTGATCAAAAAAATAAACATAGATTGCAGATCACAAGGATCCCAAACATCATCTAGTCCAAGCTATTTGGAAGAATCCTTAGCAATGTTCATCCTTTTGTGTGGAATTAAATAGTTTGTATCAATATTTCATTCAGCAACACTATTTCCTTCCTTCAGACAATCCATAAATATGGTGACAATTTGCATTTTTAACAAAGAAACTCAGGCTTGTCAGTTAGCCAGACCAAAACCACACTCGGAAAAACTTCTAAAAGTGCTCTTGGAGCTCTCTTTAATTAATAAATTCATAAAGTCRCTTGTMAAAAAGAAAASACATATYGAAAAATGTGCGACTMTTAGKTCTACGGATAATCAATGAAAAATATCAAACGCWATGCAGCATGGCCGCTTAAGGGTTCTAAAAGTCATCAAGATATACATAGTACTGAGAACTTCAACATTGTCAAAAATAGAATGTTTTGCTTGTGTTCAATCAWCYATWTAAGGAACCTCAATATTTTCAAAAAAAAAACTCTTTTGCATGTGTTTACACCAACCTCACTCCTCACTAGCCTGGTTTTGCTGTTTTTCCACAGTTTATTATCTAAAATTCTTAATATATGTTTGCAATTAAAAATCTTGCTCTTCTTCAAGCAACAGACGTTAAAATGTGTAAGATAGTGTTCTCATATTGTCATTTGATCAATTACGTATCAATACAATATCAAGCTGCTCTTGGACTGATTTTGAAGCAATTTATTTTTAGACGTTTTGATTTGGGTCAGACCTTCATCAGTGATTGCTACAAAGTGACAGATTTTTGCTAAGTATTTATATGTATCACATTCAAATTTCTAGACTCTATGAAGTGACTTTAAATTCTGATTTAAATTTATATTTGTTCAAGTCTTT